GCCAGCATATGTTAAGGTTCCAAATGTGTTTGGGTCGGTCAAATGAAAAGATGGTATTGGTTCATAAAATCGTTGACAGTCAGCTAGAAGAACAACTAGATATATGATATTTAAGAGCAATTTACTTTTGAACTCACCTAATAGATCGCACAAGTTTTTCAAAAATACCTGGTGATTTTCGAGGATGTAGAATTGTAGAATGAACTCATCAAAAGCTTGAAATACTTGTTTGTGTGCCCAGCCATTAGTCTATATTCTCCTTGTTGTAATGAGTGCTATGAGATATAACAATGCGCTTACATCTCCATGCTCAGCTGAATCAATCACATCATGCTATACAAGGCTTACATCCTACTTTCCAACATTGCACCGGCGTTCAGCCATAAACATTACGTAGTTGAGTTGACAACACGACTATTTTAGTCCGATCATACCAATACGCTATCCAGATCTGCTCAGATCTGTTCATCTATAAAAATTCCATCATAAGCGTCAGTCGGCATGACAATACGCGCCGGCTGATGATAAAATTCTACACCACAGGAAAAACGTATAAATAGACTGTCTCAGAAGAGTCCATTTAAAAATGGAATGACATACACAGAAATTAGATTTAACGACAACCTTTATTATACAACCACAAGGTGTAAAGCTAATATTAATAAAATTTATAAAACTGTCTGCTTTAATCTCGGGCTACCAAAACTCAATCCATCACTCTATTCTATCCAGTTTCTCCTGTTCATTTTATTTTAACATATGAACCTACATGAATATGACGTTTTATTGCTATCACCTGTGTAAACTCAAAATGTTACACAGCTTCGGATTAACGAAATTTCACAAAACTTAGGTAAAAGCATCCTTCTGGATGGCAGCGTGATTCACGATACACCTAATAACTGTTTCATCTATTATGAGCACGAAATTTATCCCCCTACCTGAATGTAGCCTGTCAAAACCATCCTTATTTGCTCACGAATTTACTTCATTTGCGCTAATACATTTACTTGTCCGTTGTTCCTTCCAATCCACGTAAGTATCAAAAGACAAAGGCTGGCCCGTGAATGTGAGATATTGTTTTGTACACCTGTTAAGAAACGGAATATCATACTTATATATTTCATTTGTCGCAATACGGCTGGCTTACAACCGTGTCAATGGATTGTTCTTATTGTCTGGAAATATCTACTCTGATTGATTGGGGATCCGTCAAAGACCAAGGTGAGATGTTGGACGATGAACTGATCACATGATAAATCACAATATGCATGGGAAATGATACAATCAAATAGCAACTCTGTCATAAGATAAATCACACGATTCATGACAAAGGACGACATGCTATTTTGTGCTACCTCCTTTGATAAAAATAGATATTAAATTTGATATTCAATATTTTGATGTATATCTTATTGAAATTTTCGGAAGCTGTTTATGAAAACTATCGTTCGTGTGCAATAAATAATCAACCTTCTTCAGTTCATACTGGTACGCTTAATGTGTCCTTCATATGTTGTTCAGCACATGTTATAATCTCAAATACTTCTCCTGCTTTCATGTAAATATGACCTCAAGTGTCTCCAATCCTTCGAACCTACTCAGTCCTTTGTTGTAGATAATGTATCTCTCATTATCCTCAGGGAATGAGGAGACATTTTATGTCGCCCTCTCTTTGGTATGCAAAGCAAATAGTTTTCCACTAGAATTGCGCCTGTTTCTTGGGAGGATATTATAATTGTTCCTGTACCTAAATCTTCAAGTGGGCCAAACGTTAAGTGTAGACCTATCGAAAATACCTCATAATTTTCGAAAGCAATGGCGAACCCATTTGACTTAAACCTAAACCATCCTTGGTGGATTTCAACTTCCCAAAACAATTTCCTTATGAGCATAGTGAGCACACTGGATGCCACTGTTATCTCACATCACGATGTTGTCTCTAATTTAGAGATGCCAAATATGTTCAGTGTGCCCTCCTTGTTCACAAATCTGTCTTCGGGTATATACATCGGCCTCTTTTCCAGAATTAGCTTGCGTTGACATAGACAGGATGCTGGATTTGTACGTAGTTGCATTCTTCATTTTATGAGCACTATAAACTAAGTTCGGAACTTCCTGTCAACTGACATCATGTGAAATTTGCATATATGTTAAAAATTTTCCGTAAATTAACTTGATAATTTATTTAGCCTGTAAGCAGCTGATGAGAAGCCAACGAAATAAATGACGGTACCATATAACCCTGCGGAAATTGTTGTTCTCTCTTCATTCAAATTAGGAAAGAAGAATATATGCACGAAGCTTCATTTTCTTATAGAAAACAGCATACGTCATATGAAGAAAAGTCTTCCACTACTTTATTTATTTTATCCGGTGTCCCGCAAGATCTGTTCCTTATGCTTTCCTATTTTTCTTATATGACTGACATTATGACGAAGCCAAGTCTGTCAATAATAATATATTTATTCTTACCTATTCAGGATACACCAGTTTACAGGCATGGATAAGTTTGATTTAAATTATATTACATATTTGATTTATGGTGAAATTACATGGTTGCTGTCCTTTTCGACATTAGTCCTAACTAGTCATTGAATGGAGCACACTGAGAAATATAGAAGTACTGCCTTCGCATTAATAAAATGAACCTAAATATGTGTTGGATAGAGTAGAAAAATACTCAGGAAGAAAGGCTTGGAGTCATTTCCCCCATTGTAAGATGAATTCAATTCCCATCCTTAAATCAAGTCAACCTGTCCCGGATCAGCCTAGCCTTGTTGCAACCTAATTATCCATGCCCAACGTGTCTATCCCACTTTGTTTAATGAACTGTGTGTGTGTTTTTACTTCGATCTGTTTAGTCAGACAGTTGAACTCATGACCCAATCAGAGTATTCTTGTGAACTGTTATTTTGCTGACCCATGTCTTATTTTGTACTATTCTGTCTAGTTTATCTTATTTATTGATTGGCTAAGTAACCAAATAAATTCTATCTTTGTGCCTATGCTCTGTATATCTCTTACTTGGGTTCATTCTTCTACTGACTGCTTGCCTGAACGGTTGTGTCTGATCTGGCTAGTTCGTAATTTTGGCTTTAACGTTTATCTGCTCTGATAGCGGTGCCTTGCTTTCTGTTAAGCATTGTGTATTGTACTCTTTAAACCGTTAAGGTTTGTTGTATATATATTAATTGATTTGTTTATTAATAGTACCGTAGAAACAGTGACCGGCTTCTTGTTTGTTTTGGACCGGGATAGCCTTTATCTATGCGTGACTTAATTTCAAGCGATATTGCGCTTACACCCATATTACTTTGGTAAATGCTTATTACCCATAGGCTTCAACCGCGACGCATCCTGGATCACAGTTTTGGAATATTACCTTTATACCAATGAAAACTCCCAATAACCACTTGTACTGCGCCAATAAAATCTGGTTATTTAAGAAGTAATGATCACATGCTAACTCGTATGGTGATAATTTTCATCTTCTACATGCTCCAATTGTCATTTCATATGGTATATTGTATATTTGAAGGGAAAACACGACGCTAATATTCACTATATTATTCTGGTGTAACTTTGACATCTTCAGGGTACGACTTACAGCATGACCAAGTGATCACCGTCTTAAACGGTTTATCAGGCTTAAAAATCCGTAATCCTCCTCGGGTTTTTGTTACACTAAGGGTAAACGCACCCGAGATTCATATGACAAGGATCTATTCTGATGCATGACGTATAAAAATTCATAGGTAGTACATGCAGTAAAGTCTCCCCTGAAAGAGAAATAATTTTTTTGACAGTGAAATAGTGATGAACATACAGGGAATGACAACACAGAGAGGAATTCAGTGGGAGACAAAGTGGAAGGTATTATCATTATTTGAAAATTAAGCAACTAGAGTAAGATACTAGATTTCTTAAGGAACATATTATCTTGTCATAAGAAACATTATCTCTGACATTAATAGTCTTCTTTACATAATGAACTGCAGATTTGATATACATCGTGTTCTGCCATTTATATATAGGTTAATTACTGAGTGCAATATTGAAGTGCCTCGCATGCGTCTGTTTTATACTAAATGCTGACCAAAAAGGCGAGTGGAACTAGAAGTTACCCCTCACAGTTATTATTAACCTACGATAATCCTGGTGAATTTAGGGTTGCTTTCATTTCCATTTTCAAATAAGTTCTTAAAGAACATTGATTATACCGGTGAATATAACCATACTGAATTTTTATTACTGATCAGCCCTTATTATATATAGTTTAAGTCCTACAAATGCTATTAAGTTTGGAACATTCAGATTGAAACGTAACTGACAGCGAGACAGTCAGGTCGCCAGCGTATTCAACCAAGTTAATTTATTCCTTATAGGAGAAGTCATATGAGAAAAAAATAGGATGGAAAAGAGCGCCTAGAGGAATACTTGCTTCATAAAACGAGCTAGAAAAACATTTGTCCTCAAATACAGTTTAATGCAATATGTTAGAGAAACAAGAAAGCAATCAGTTAACAGCCCAGGACATGGTTCGTGTCAAGGAAAGCTTAATCAATAGAAGACATCTAGATACTGGGTTAAAAGCGGACATGTTATTCAGAAAGGCATACTGAACACGATATAATCATGTAAGACAACCACGGCATATATTGTACCTCCGCCCTTTCTATATGCAAACCGTTAAGGGTCACTAAACCCTTCCAGGTAGGTTTTTAATGACTTTGATATCTTGTAAACTAAGGTCTTAAGTTTGTTACAATTGAAAAGTGAACTACTATTCTCTCGATATCGAAAGTGCACGTAATAAACATAAAACTAAAGTGACACCTCATCAGAATGTTGAAAATATCACTTTCCAATTGGTATAGTGGTCATCACAACCAAGAAGCGAGTACAAATAAATCAAATTGGTTTACATTAGCACTTAAAAATCGATATTGGCAATTGCATCTCAATGCGCGTTGCTTGGAAGGTGTGTTACTTGTGCCGTTTTCAACAATACCAAAATCTGTATACGAATACTGGTTGGTGTTTTACTGTTCCTTCATCCAGGAAGGAATTTGCAAGTTAACTGCCTGGGATAAGAGGTACAGCAATCGCATGTGCAAAATGTTAACAAAGACTATTGACGTAGATAGGTCTTGGTTTCGTTACACTTTGGATCTTAAGAAATAATTGAAAGGGTAATCATATTATCTTGTTGATATTTCCATAGGACTATCAGAGCTGCCTTAACTAATTTTTATGCTTTATTCTTACCATACAAATTTGTATTGGTGGTTCTTCCCACAGATAGCACGATCAAGCAATAACACTTAACTAATTGTCAAAGATCAGAAGCTACTTTTCTTCATTGTTTCGAATACTATACCGTACTTGATATGGTTTCTGAGAATAAACTTTACTTGAAGCTTCTTTCATTCAAAAACTTTACTGTGTGATTTATCAGTTAAGTACAGTACATTAGTGTAGTACTATGCTACTACATGTACTAGTCTGTGCAAAGAATCAGCTTCAAGCATTATTTCTTCAGGCCAGTTTTTTAATCTGATTTTGATATATACTTTTTTGAAAAGCACATCCTAATTTGTGATGTAAGGTGACTTTGGTCAAGCAAATATCCGCTCTGTCATCAGACGGATATCCTTTAATCTTTCGTGATTCACTTAAGTTAAGGAAGTTTATAGGTGTTCAGAATGAGTTGGTATTACTGTTTTAGTTCGGGGAGTTGGAGCACAGTTGATTACACTTAGTAATGTCAAAGTACTCATACGCTGTATAACTTCCTATGATCCCGACATTTCTTTTATAGTGTTTCCTATTCTTCTGACAATAAGGTTAGGTTATCCTGTTTGTGTATGTGACTTTGAATTCCAGTGGAGAGAAATTCAGTAGGCAGTCACTCACTTTCTAAATCTTTTTGGTTAACCAGCTGACCGGTGCAGAAAATGCGATTCATAAAATTGACTTACTGAAATCGATGCACCTCCTCATATTGTTGAGTTTGTCTAGACAATTAACTACCCTAGTCACTGTTAAATCTGGTAGTTGATGCAGACTGCACAGTCATATGTTCACTTGTACAAAACCACACAACGTTTTTGAAAATTTTTAGCCTCAATAGAAGCATTCTGCGCGAATTTCAATAGGAAAATCCGCACATTTTCGAAACAGCTATGTGGTGTTATAACGTATTCAGGTGTTTCCAGTTTTCTGTAGGTGTTTCGTGTGGCATAATTTCATCATACATGTTTTTGTTCAAGCTCAGTTACCGTGAACAGAACTTTCACTTACCAGTAAGAGCCACAATTATGCTGTGAAGGCGGATAACTACCCATTTACCCACGTTGAAACAGGACTCGAGCCAGTGACTCATCCGCTGAAAACCCAGTGCTTAAGCCAATGAGCCTCATTACTGATATGGAGATCAGTATCTAGTCTGTCTCATTACCATATATTTTAGATAATGCCTACCATTTTCGTCACTATTTTTATGTACCAAATGGCATATAAGTACACCTGTTCCAATCAATATCGGAGTACTCTCTCAATCAGATGGCAGTAGGGAAATGATCTAATGGTTGTGCAACTTTGGCGATAGACTGATTTTCGTAATCACCATGGTCATAAAATTTCTTGCGACCTATCAATACGCCAGTATATGAGATCTAAACTTTGCAGTGTTTTACAATGACAGAAACTGACATGCAATATCGACTTTTGCCCTAAATTGTCACGCGCGTTAGACAGAATGTGAGACAAAGCTAAGGAAAAAAACAAGCAAGGGAGCAAAAGTTCATTGAGTTTTATAAGACTGAAATAAGAAGCAAACAAAGGAATAATCAATACATAAATACAATTAGTGTATCAGATTCTTCACGTTTGGTTCTGAACCATGGGACTTAGAGCTTCGTACTATCACTGTCTCGAAAATTTGGTATTTGCTTCACCACAGAAAATTTATGTATTTTAATATCTTCATGTAAAAATAATTCTTTACAAATAATACTGGATTTTATAATTATAGTGGGGAAAATACATTATGCTAGACGACTGGTTCAGTACTACCACATGAACATAAACAATTATTGGTCTACTTCCTCCTGAATGGGTCAGTCTTTGTCAGCCCCTGTTCTTTCTAAGGAAACAAGGAGTTGGCAGAATGAAAACTACAGTGTTGCAGTATCCAGTATGCAAGGATGGCGTGTACATATGGAAGACTCCCATATGTGTTTACTAGAGCTTCCCAGTGATCCAAAGGCTGCCTATTTTTCAGTTTTTGATGGGCATGGTGGAACCAGAGTGGCTAATCATGCAAGCATTCATCTTCATGAGAAGATAGTAGAGCAAAGTGAATATGGTACGTTGTTATTTCTGTTTCTGTTGATCAAAAGTAATCATGCCAACAAAGTGCAAATCTATCGTTTCTGCACAGCTATCGGTTTTCAGATTGTACTTTTAATTTCTACAGATAATGAATATATTCTTAAACCGACAACCGCGTATTTTCATAGAACGAATGCTTGAAAGAAAAAAAATATCACTACACATAGCACACATGTTTCAATAACCACCTACAGCTGTACACGTAAAGTGTGGATGAGCGATGCAGTAGTCAAACTTCAGGCACGTTGTTGGGAAGTTAGTTTCTTAACTGGTGCAAAACTAACTACCGTATTCTAAAAATGGATATTCCTTTTAAGTATAGAAGAGAATTATGACCACGTTTTGCTGCTTTTTAGTAGCAGTTTAGCAGTCTATTACTATTACTCATTAATAGACCACTATACATTTTTGGTAAATATAAATACAACTGTACAGCCTCCGAAGATGATTTCGTCGATAAAGAAGATTTTCTCCGGTGAATTTGTCTTTTATTTTCTTCATGACCCAATGGGTAATTTCGGTGGTTTAAATAGTCATCTTGGTTACCTTTAAAAAACACAAAACTAGCATTTTCATCGTGTGAAATGAATACCTAAAAGTGTTTTTTACTTGAAAATCAGTTAGGCAAAGCTTATATCGGACGCCGTTATTCAAAGGTATTAGCTGTTTTCGTTTTGATTTTTTTCCCTTATTAAATGTATGAATCAAGATTATCGTCCAATAGTCTGGTTGTAACCATAATGGTCTCCTTTGTAAAAGATACTTAAGCGGACTTTGAATATTTAAAACACATGCTACTGCTCTATGGAACTAACAACAAACTTACCTGTTCTCGACACTAAGGCGATGGACATAAATATATATATGTCATATATATATATATATATATATATATTAAGTCAGCGTTCTCACTGTGTTGTTGTAAAATTCTGGGGTGAACATAGAGACCAGTTCGAAAGGTTATAAGAAAGTATTTTAGGTTGATTAAGAGGAGTAGTATTACGAAAGACTACATACGTAGGCATAATAGGAAGCCTAATACCTTGCAGTACTTTAATTATATTCATGAAGTAGCAATCTTGTAAACCTTTGATTAAAATAAAAGTACATAATTATTGGTAGTATTACTAAATGTACTAAATTACTAATGTACATCTTCTGGTACAGCACGAAACGATATAAAAGAGGCTATTCGCAACGCCTTTTTGTGTTTGGATGCAGAAATGCAATCTGAGATGACCTCGTATTCCGTGAAATCGATAGCCACAAAATCGGAAACAGCTAGTGCAACAGCATCCAATTCAAATATAGCGATCAAAAATAATGCCGCAGAAACACAGAACGAAGCTTCAACAAGCTTCTCTCTGAAAATTCCGAATCCAGGTGATGAATTGGCTGGATCTACTGGTATAATCGTATTATTGAAAGATCAAACACTATATTGTGGCAATGCTGGAGATAGTCGTGCTGTATGCAGTAGACGTGGAGTAGCAGAGCCATTGTCAACAGATCATAAACCCACTTTACGAGCTGAGAAAGAACGCATTTCTGCTGCTGGTGGTTGGGTCGATGCAAAACGTGTAAATGGTAATCTGGCACTTTCTCGAGCTTTTGGAGATTTCGTTTTTAAACGCAATCCACGTCAGTCCGCTGAAAATCAGATTGTAACAGCCAATCCGGATGTTTATGTCCGAAGAATTTCTGCCGAAGACGATGAATTCATAGTACTATGTTGTGATGGGATTTGGGATGTAATGACTAATCAGGAGGTTATAAGCTTTATCAGATTACGACTCAGTTATGGAATGGCTCCTTCTAAGGTAAGTGTTTGAAATGTGTAGTCATTCATCTTCCGAAGTATATGATACGTTTGCCTAATTTTTACGTAAATGTTTGTTTCATCCTTAAAGCAGTTGTTGAGATAAATGTTCTACGTATTTGATGCCTAATATCATATAACTGTGACCTTATAGTACCAACTAAATGTCATGGTAGTTTTATAAGGTGCTTATGACATGACTATTAATAACTTCAGTCCTAAAACTGTTTTTTTTCGTGAATTTTTAACAAGACTGACTTTCCCACTCGTGTTACCTCCTTAAAGACTATATACACACGTTCCTATCCATGATTAGGTGTAATTTGGAAAATCTCACTTGTCAATATGACATTCAAGGTAGATGAAGACGAGAAGAAGCATATATAGTTGAACGATGTATCGGAGAAAACTTGTGATCATAGACTGTATTCAATTACTTAATGGGAAGCAAATAAATACGTCACCCACGTTACGTCAAACTAGGTGGACCAATACGCATGTGAAAGCAAGCGCTTGAAAAAAACTGAAGTGGGGGCCTACTGACTTCCTGAGTATAATCTAAGAAACTCGCGTTTGCAGAGAAGTTAAAACAATTGTAGCAGGTAGGCACCTGACAAAAACTAGACAATAAAATACAAAGTTCTCATTCATTCATTATAAAAAAATCTGAAGTATATTATGATGTCGCAAATCCGTGTTGTGTAATACAGCTCAACGTCAGATGCTTGATTATTATGGTCTTTGGACAGCCAAAGTTGGTTCACACATCACTGGTTTAATATTAAGGTTTTTAACGTCTGAGTAGACGCCTTATATGAAGCAAGCTGGCAGTTTCTTGCGAATATGCATTTTTTTTCCTTCACGTTCCACAGTGGAACATAGGGCTTCAAGCTAGTGGCTTGAAGTTTCTGTAGCAGTTGTTTTTATTTTACAGGATGGGGTTGCTAGCCTCATGCCCAACCTTTCCTCTTTACCAGCATTATTTCTGGCTTAGCGAGGTAAAGGCCTGCGTCTGTGGCCGGGGATCGAACCCCGGACCATGTGCATGGTCGGCGAGCGTCCTAACCGCTATACCACCGACGCCACCATCGAATATGCATAACTACTATTTACGATAATTACCACTTTGATAGGGATTAAGAAAATATGCATAAAAGAGGATTTCGAATGGAAAAGCAAATCCTACTCAATTTTCATATTGCCAGCGTATTAAAGAAACATCGTCCGTATATTAGTAGCGTTACATTTACAGATAGACGTTTACTTTTCTTTCACAAAATAAAAAACTTGTTAGTAAAGTGTTCTGAACTCATGTTGTAACGAAACGTCGTAATATAAATCATATTTCTTTCTATAAGTTTGTAAAGAGTAGAATGATTTCTTAGTAGTTTCTAAAAGCCGATATATCTGGATAGCTGTTTTTGATGTGAACTTCGAATACCTTAACCAACCTATGATGGATGTTTTGAAATATTTAAGTGTTTGAATTCGCACTATAAAGTCGACACTGCATACCAATTCTTAGAGAAATGAGTAGACGAAAAATTTAAAAATGCCTTGTTTGTTTCCTGATTTTCTTGGTGAATAACGTCCCTGGGAGACTCATGTTGTACAAACAAAGTGTCTCGCATATTCTTAGCTTAAAATATTCCGTCACCGCCACAAGTGTTCTTAGCGTATCCCAAGAACTCTAAATACTACTTAGGTAGCACACTGGAAACCAAGCTAATGAATTTGCACCAGCCTTAAAATATAAAGGTGTATGATGGTCTGGGTAAAAGAAGCGTACTGAAATTCTAGCTCCAAACATTGGTGCTTTTTAGCGGCGGAAATACGCTTTCGGCATGTTAAGTTGACAAAAACGCATCTACTGAGATTCAGAAAACCAAAAAGCATATTTCAATTTGAAAATTTATGAGACTTCACAAATGTACATCAAGACCATTTCTCTTTCTTTTTGTAGGTATGTGAAGAATTAATGATGAGGTGTTTAGCACCTGACTGTCATACAAATGGTTTGGGTTGTGACAATATGACGGTTGTTTTGGTCTGCCTTCTTCATGGTCGTCCACTTTCTGACTTACAACGTAGATGCTCGAGACCATGTCCAGCCGGTCCTGCAGCTGATATTCTAGGTGGCTAAATAAATTTGTGTTTGTTGTTGTGCAGTTCGTTATTATGGTTTTGACATTGACTATGTGCCATGTCTACTGATTACAATTTGTTTTGCAGTGTGCTCTTACGGATTTTCAGCCAAATGATCTTGCATTTACTACACCTCAAATTAATTTATAGTGATATTTGATTACTCTGAATTCAAACAATAAATGCTTTTAGAAAAGATTAACCTTCTTCTTAAATTAACACTTTCTAATTATTTCAAACATTTCATGTACATTACTGTTGCTAACGTTGAAGGCAGATTCATCTTCAGAAATCACTCATTAACTACATCGTAATATTGCAAGATAATAATGGGAATCGAAACAGTGTTGATGGACAACCACTGATCTAACAACCAGTTTGTAACCATTCGCGTCGAGGTCAGTATTAACAGTTCGACTGCTCTTCAAACTTCCACTGCCTAGCAAAGTAGATTTATTTAACAACAGTTTGAATTGCTCACCCTTCTAAGTTAATCTAGGCCTGTCAGTCGCTGAACTGATAACGTTCTTCATTTACGAACAACAAATCCAACTTCCTATATGCCCAAGTTAAGCGAAACACTGTATTCATCCACTCCATTTTAATTGGTGAATATGCTTCACGAATTAGTTTGCATGGTCTAATTCCACACATACGAATAATACGGGACCTACCATATACTACAGATCACCTTACTTTTCTTTGTTGTCATTTATGTGCATTTCCAAAACTCGGATATCTCTGGATTTTCGTTGTTGCCCTTCCTGACTACATCTCTTAGTATAACAAGTTGTAAAATGCCAAATTTAGCAAACTGTTTTTAAAAATAAGTACTAAATTTGAGATGCTATCTAGTGGAAAATACCTTTTGTGCTTCATCTACATGGATTCAACTACTAACGATATTATGTCTGGAATAAATACATTGACACATTGAAAGGCAATTTTAGTTGGTTTAATGCTATGAGTTAGTGGTGTTGTTCTTAAAGAACACCATATATTCTGTGGGAATGGCAACCAATGCACTTGGTTTTCGTACAGATAGTTTTTGGCAAATGCACTTAGCAGGTATGTTTATGTCACTACAAAATACGTATTCTCCTGTAATACAATGATTATAGAGTAGTTATGTAGAAATACATTAAAACAATTAACTAATAGCAGGGATTCCAAGAGCGAGATATTTTACGCATTCGAAGAATTGTATGAAGCACTCAAACATAATCGACGAACTGCATCAAAATTTATAATTATCTATCTACATTAACATAGCTTGTCTAAATAAAAGGCATTCGATGATATAGCGAGTCATATATATATATATATATATATATATATATATATATATATATGTATATATATATATGCACGCTATATCAAAATTATCAACGTATCACAAAAGAAACAATTTATACACTAAAGCTTTCTCCGCAACCGCAAGTCCCCTTAATGTTAGGGTTGTTAAAAACAAACTGACTGGATAATATATCTTGCTGATAGTCCATTTCAGTACCCAACAGCGTCAGCTGCGCCCGACGATCAATAAAAATACGAACTCCGTCCTGCTCCACAACTTCATCTCCAGGTTGGATTCCGTCGAAGCAAAAGTCCAAGGTATAAGACAGACCATTACAACCACGAGTTCTAACTCCAATACGTAGTCCTATAGCTTTTGGATTTCTTTGTAAAAGTTCTTGGATACGATCTATGGCTGACTTCGTAAGAGTAATAGGTGCATGTTTACCAACAAGAGATGATGGCTTCGACCTCGCGGTTGTTTTAACTGAACTTGATATAGATCCAGGTTTGCTTGCAAAGTAGGATGCGTTTATTTTCCATATTAAATGATCATTAACTGAGCTTTGAAAGACTTTTGGCTTGCTGGAAACCAACTTGAAGACTTTGGCCCAATTCATCGAGGATTTTTAAAATACATTATGAAGGCATCTGAAATATAAAAAGCTTGTCTAAACTATTTTTACAAAATTGAAATCTAGTATTTTAAAGACAATATTTGGATTACATACTGCTACTCAGGTGACTCCAAGCTTCAATTAGGCATACGATTGTGGGACCCGTAATTTAATTTTTTTAACCAGAGCAGCTGGTATATCATATGTCACTATAAAACCCTTATTAGTTATTTTCAAAACTAGATGCTTGCTCCACATAGTTTCACTACGTTTTGATCTCTATAATACTGTTCTTCTTACAATGACTTGATAGTAGGTGACCGTAGAACAGGAAGCTGTCCTAAACCTCATTAACGGAAAATAACTCCTCAAAGTTAATATCCAACCTTTCATCATTCAGTACTAGATTTTACCCTTCACTGCTAAAGTCGACTGGTTAAGCTGTAGCATGAAGTCAGGTATCCAGACCATTTGGTACGCTGTCGTTTTATGTTCCGTTGTTCGTGCACGCAGCAGAAATCGCCGTTATACGTTCCTGATCCTGAAATTAATTTCGTTATTTGCACGACTAAATTGTTGTTCTAGTTTGACAAGTAGTTCTCTGATCATACAGAGCAAGTGTATTAGGGCGCTATATAATTCCAGTAGCACGTAACTGTTTCTTCCCTACTCATCGACATTATCTCCTAAACCATCTTGCCAATAAACCAAAGAGGCCTCAGCCGTATTATTCGTTAACCCTGGATTTCTGCGAACAGTTTCTGAAGGAATCCTGAGAAACTGCGCTCTACCGCTAATCCTCAAATTTTTTGGAACTCCTTAAAAAAACTAGTGCTGTTGGTCGAGAAGATTAGTATGAAAAACAGATCTGAGGATTAAAAGGCCTTCACAGCAGAAATGGAGATTACCGATAGCACAGTGGCTCTCAGATAATGTATCAACAGAGGATGCAAGTTTAAATATTTCATTTCAGAAAAATTATTGTAGTAATCACAAGGTTTGCACATTTTTGTACAAAAGGAATGCATTTCGAAGAACAGCCTCCGATATCGCATTGGTGTTAATACTATTCCGAAATATCATTGTTTAGGGTCAGGAGACAATTAGTGGTTAGCTTTCAAGTTTCTGGTTAAAGATGAGGAAATAGGACTGGTTTTAGGCGTTTTCCAGTTTGGATTTATCCCATTAATTCTAAGCGGTACTCGTTACTTAAACTAAATTCGGTTTATCTGATATAACTGTACCATTACCTACGAGAACTTTAATTGGATTAACCAATATCACAATTAGCTTTTGTGCTTCAACCATTATCCCTTAACTCGGCCATTGAATTAATCCATATATACAGGGCATATTCCAACAAACTACGTCAGTTGTCACCTCGATCCCACACTGACACGCCCAGTTGAAGTACAGATATCAATGAAAAGACACTAACCAGTGATTCTCTGATACGCAAGCAAAGTATGTTAGATAAATTTGATAGATAGCACATATATTGTATAAATAATGAGAATGTTTTAATGCAGGTCTAGGTTGCCTCCGAAACTTTATAGCTTAATTCGTTGAAATTGGTCATTTCAAGATCATTGAGGCATTTGTTACCAGGATTCCCGTTTGCTACATATCGAGATGATAGTGACACAAAAAACTATAAACTTATGAGTAGACCAAATTTATGTAAATACACTTGCTCACACAATTTCAATAAGTATAACGCCAACTTTGTTAAACCCGCTAGTTGTCAAGGTCTAATATTAGACAATGAAGGGTAGTCTTATATGTATTCCAAAGCACACGAAGTTTAGCTACATAACGCGAATATGGACGACATGCATAAATTTAGGCATCAAATATCTTAAATGTTAATCTCCTGACTTCATCTGAAGGGACTCGACAAAATGCCATGGGAAAAACCGCTGGATGCATCTATTACGTGTGTAGGCACCTAGGGGCATATTTGTCTGTACTATTTACACAGTCATACAAAAAGTATACATGGGCACATTTAAGGTATAATGTGTTATAACAGACTCAAAAAGAGATCTGAAACTACTAATAGGAGTACAAAGGTATGTCAAAACCTCTCCTACTACGGAAATCAAGACAGTATGACACGTCAAAAATGACGTGTTGTACAGTACATGGCCGGAAGTTCGCTGACGAATGTGCCACACTTCGTTTCTCCTTATTGTAGGCGCCTCGAGAAAAAGGCGTGTGGTTGACACTCCTATTCGACACCTTTGAATATTGATGGTAACATCATGTAGGCGTAACTTTGAAATGCTAAGTCCAAGTGTCTAAGGTGAGTTTCCTTGTCTAGACTTGCAATGAGACAGTCGTCTAAATATGCGTATACAAAGTCCAGACAGCGAAATACTTCGTCGATGAAGCGTTGGAATGTTTGTGCTGCATTCCGAAGACCGAATGGCACACATAGAAATTCAAAACGTCCGAAAGGCGTAATGATAGCGGTTTTCCGAGTATCTTCTGGTGCCATAGGGATTCGGTTATACGCTTTAACCAAGTCGATTTTAGAGAATATAGTTGCGTCAGATAATGTTGCCGTCAAGTCGTGTTTGTGAGGCAATAGATAGCAGTCGCGGGTTGTTCTGGCTTTCACTCGCCGGTAATCACCAGTGGGTCGCCAATCGTTGCTATCTTTTCTCGGTAACATATGCAGTGGGGATGCCTATGGGCTATTCGATAGCCGAATGATGCCAAGAGTGAGCATATGGTCTAACTCATTTCTAGCGATTCTCAGTTTGTCAGGAGCAATTCGTCGTGCTTTGGATGTCACGAGCTGTCCTGAGGTTATGATGTGGTGCATTACATTGCTGGGTGTGTACGAAAGATCGCTAGACGAGCAGTTAAGTTCCGGATATTTGTCAACAATCGGCTGGAATGTTGGATCGAGGATTTACTTCTTCGTAACGAGTGACGAGCTGGGATCTACGTAGGTGATGGCCTAGATAGTCAGTCTTGTAGTACTGTCTATCAATCGTTCTTTATAGGCGGACGTCTGCAAGTAAATCACGATGATTGAGTAAGTCCATGCCAATGATGGGTATTGTGATGTCAGCGAGAAGGAAAATTCACTGAATAGGTTCGCGTGAACCCACGTTCGGGTAGACGTATTTCCTACCAAAGGTTTCAATTGGTTTTCGATTCGCAGCCTGTGAGTTGAAGGTGGGCTTATTCTGTCAATCTGCTGCTGTAGCAGGAAGGACGCTGACTTCAGCACCTGTGTCGACTAAGTACCAGGTCTGGTTGATTACATCACGAATGTGAAGTAGGCAACTAGTACCACCGGCGAGGGTTGCCGCTAATGCGTGTTGGTTGGATTCTTTTTCCACAGTTTTTGAGACATTGCCGAAATTACAAGGTTTTCGGCAACATTTCGCTTCCTGGTCATATGTATTGTGATAGCAACACCACTCAGGGTTCTTCAGTGAACCCGACTTGGATTTAGACTGATCACGTGGGTTTCACCTTTAAGGGGAGTTAGCAAGACGACACGAGGAATTAGAAGGTGTGTTTGACCTAAGCAGTTACTGCACAAAGTTGCATAACTCTACCACTGCAGTATCCCTACCTGAAGTCTGTTTGGCAATTGGGCATGTTTCAGTGACTGGCCGTTTTGTTTTAGAATTTTATCTGCAGAAACAGCTAGGTCATCTATTATAACACCCTGAAGTGTCATCAGCACTGCCTGTGGCAGTTTGCATGAGAACAGTTCTCTGAAAAGTCCTTCATTGAACTGACGTTGGCCAATAACTTCCCTCATTCTTGTTAGCATGCTCACAGCTCAACGATCACCTAACTGCACATTGCAAAATAATTCGTCCAGACTCTGTCTATCTGCGAGGACGTTTCACCTCAGAAGGGATGATTTGAGCAACTCGAAGGAGTTACTTACCTCTGGGCTCAACATATGCACAGCTATACATTCACTGAATTCCTGCGATAGGGTGTGGATAACTGCAAAGAACTGTGAATGTTGATCAGTTAACCCTTGTTCCCTCAAATCAGACTCAGCTATCTGAAACCGCGATTCAGCATTATCTGGCCAAATTGGTACGAACTGAATAGATTTGGCAGTTGATTGAACACGGATGGCCTTAGGAATATGATCATTTATGACGATACATATGTAGTTTGAAAATAGTGCAAGAACAAATACAAAATGGAATGAAATCACCGGATTTGCATGTGTATTTACCAAAGATAAAGTTCGCGGCTGGACTCACCATTTTAGAGGCTGACAGTATTGACGCTCACGAATAGTACGAAGTAAACTAACGCAAGATCTAATACCCTCATTTCTATGGTATTCGTTACACGTGGACCAAAGGCAAAGCAAAACACAAGAATTGACCGTCTAAATTACTAGTTATATTTCGGGACCAAATCGGAGTGCGAGATGATTGCTTAACTAGCTAGGGATCTGCATCAACGAACGAACGTGACACGGCGGCGTACAAAATGGCATGGATGCTTGTTCGGAAGCCTTCCGTTAAACGAGTCGACTTAAACATTGATGGTCAGCATCCAATTTTCAATTATGAATGCCTTGGCCATAATTTTGGGGAATTATTTACCGCTACTAGTGTAATCGAAGAAACTATCAAAAATGTTCGATTTGGATATTAAAGCCAGCTAAAGATTTTGTTGATATTATGCAATATGACGGCCTTGTAGTTTGTGTTATAGCTGACGCCTTAGCAAATTTCAGCCTTGCAGAACAAAAATGCCATGTTTTTTTGCAAAGCTTATTAAAATAAAGCCTGTAATCACTTTTCGAAATACTCCGTTAGGACGGGTGATTTTTAACATATATTCCCATGTGATATTCGTGCAAAATCCGTTATTTTAGGCAAGAGTGATGATCAGTGCGACCTCAAGATATTGAGAGATCTTATCGGCTCGCATAATAAAATCACTGTGATATTTTCACGTCATAATCAGATGTGATGATGTCCTCATAAGCAGCGTGATAATCA